CTAAATCTCAGTTTATAGATTGTATAGTGATTTAAAATTTTTGTTAAGTTTAGATGAACCTTAAGTAAAATTTGAGAGTTTTAGAATAATGTAGGTAAAGGATTAGTGTTATTAGTGTGTTTGGTTATCAAATTGAATAAATGGAGTGTGTTAGAGGTATTGATGGTATTAAATGGGATTTTAGGTATAATGGGTACCCAAATCTTAGTAATTTGGGGGTTTAGTTGGAGAAATAATTGATGGTTATCATTAAATCATGTAGATTATATATTGCTAGAGTGTTGTTACACATGTGGACCTTGTGGAATACATATTTAGACCATAATAACCCTTTTCGTGATAAAAGAATTGAGGTAACATAATAATTTATTCTATTTGATTAAGTGTTTAACTATTTGTGAGTAAATATATAATTTTTCATACCTATGTTTGAAAGTGTTGCATATTGCTAGGTGAGGATTTTATACATAAAAAATAACTTTTTAAAAACAATAAATTTATGAAAGTAGTTATATGTGTAATTGATGGTTTAAATGAAAATTTGAATTTTACACAAAAGTAAGCATGATCATGATAGGGGGTGAGAGTTTACCTGTAGGAAAGAATGGTGAAAAGTCTATATGGCATTTATTTCTTTAGTGCCTAGTAAGGTATGGCATTAGAGATTATCTCCTTAGTACCTATGTGGGGTATGGTATTAGAGATTTACACTCTTTAACATTAGTGTGATACAATATTAGAGTAACGACACCCTGAATCGTGTGTGATAAGGAAAAATCATAGTTTGAAAGTGAAATATGATACCTTTAGTTAGGTAATTCTACCACTAAAGGTAAGCTTAGGCCATTGTATATGTGTACTTAGTCTAATAGAGCCTTTGATTTATATAGGCTCATATGGTAGAATTATCATGCTAGAGTGAAAATTTAAGGGTTTGAATTCATTGTGGAATTAGGATTTTGGCGGTCAATTTGTGTTTGGATCATTATTAATGTGTTGTAATTAGTTTATTAGGTGATTAATGGTTTATTTGAGTCAGTTCAAGTGTTTCTAAGACTATTAGCACTTGCTTGTGGATTTTGGACACCTTTATGTGTGTTTTGATTTGAAAATAGATCAAATTATGTTAGATGTTTAATTTTTAGATGGATGAGTGTTTAGGTATGAGACCAATGTCAATAATTAGAGGGCTCAAAGAACTTCATGTGAATACTTGAACCACTCCAATTAGATGTCGAATGGCAAGACAACATACTCTGAAGGTTTGTCTCAGAGTGCTGTCATGATAGCAAGAGCGTGTCGCCATGCAGGGTGGGTGCATTGTGGCATACTACACAGAGAAGAATGAGGTTCCTCTGTGCCATTTGTCGCGGTGAGTGAGGATTTTTTTGGAAATTTTTCATACTTGTCCTTTGTTGCAATTAAGTGATAATTTTAGGTTCTATGTTTTTGCTACCTTATTTAATTTTCTTTAAACCATCGTTTGAGATTAAATGTATTTTTTTAAAAAAAAATTCTCAAGATCCCAATGTTTTACATAATTTTTTTAAAACTCTTATACTGTAATAACCTTATTTAAAAAATTTTGTTATTCCTAGTTATTACAATGGTATGTTTAGATTGTTGTTTTGATAATATTAAGGTGGACATTATAGTAATCGCTCACTTTTTCATTTACATCAATGAACTCCCTCCTATGTTCCACAAAATCAATGAGGTGTTCCTTATTCGACGTCTATCTCTCGAACTAAAATGAAGTTTGATTATTGGAGACAGTCTTCTTTCCCAAACCCTATTGAAAAGAGTTCCAGACTTTACAAATACTCCTCCAAGTGATGGAGTCACCTACTCTCTTAATAATCTTAGGCATACTTCTCTCTCCACATTTATATTTAGACTTAAGCTCTTAGACCCATAAACTATTAGGATTAGTGATCAACCCCTAATAGAGCTTCCAAATGAAGGACTTATTTTGATGGTTTAGGTCCCTGATTCCTAAACTACCATGATCCTTTTGTTTCTAAAGGACTTCCTAAGCCAAAAGATGCAACTTTTTAGAGTTTTCATTATCACCTCACAAGAACTCACAACTAGCTTTCTTTAGATCATTCAAAATACCATTCAAAAAAAGAATAGTTTGCATGTAGTAGCTCAGTAAGGTTGAAATTATTGATTTAACTAAAGTACTTCCGCTTGCCATAGTAAGGAATTTGCCCTTCCATCCTAATAAACAATTCCTAGCTTTTGACAAAATTAAGGGGAACAGACTATTAGTAACTCTTTTATGAATTAATGGAATGCGCAAATATTTTCTTAAGTTACCTATCAATCCAACTTCTAGATCCTTACTAAGTTGTAGGGCTCTGTTAAAATGAACATTATCATAAACAAACATCTTAGTCTTTTCCCTGTTCATTTTATAACTCGACCCTATATAGAATCTGGAAATATAGTGATTGATCACATCTACTTGATTTGGGAGTCTTCTCTAAAAAGTACCAAATCATTAGCAAAGAACAAGTGGGACATGGGTGGTCCATCATTCACCAGTTGAATGGGTTTTCACTTTCCTTTCAAAACTACATCTCTAATGATATAATTCAATTTTTCCATACACAAGATAAAGACGTAAGGAGAGATGGAATCCCCTTGTCACAAATCACGTGAAGGCTTAAATTGAGTGGAAGGCTCACCATTCCATGGTACCTTAGTTGAGGGCATACTTACACAAGCCATAATTATATCACACATGTTTTCTCCAAGACCCACCTCCAATTTGTCATAAACTTTCTCTAAATCCACTTTAACTGCTACAAAACTATTTTTCCTTCTTTTCTTTATCATAAAATTAATCACTTCCCGGGCAATAATGACATTATTCCCACTCTGTCTACCTATAATAAAGCTGCTCTGATGCTTCTTGATAATGTTATCTATCAAGCACTTAATTTTATTAGCAATCACTTTAAATACTATTTTGTAGCTCACATTACAAAGGAAAATAGGTCTAAAATCTTTCATAGCATCTAGCCTATCCACCTTGAGAATGAGAACAATACAAGTATTGTTTAGTCCTTCCACCTTTTTTGGATATCAAAAAACATATTTCACTAAAGCACAAATAGAGGTTCCGATCACATCCCAATATTGTTGATAAAAGATCGTTTGTATGCCATCTAGATTTGGGGCCTTAAAACTACTCATATCAAAGACCACACTTTTTATTTCCTCATCGAGAACTTCCCTAGAAAGATTTAAGGCCTCTTTCCTGCTGATTGTTGGGTATGACAAAGTAAATACAAAAGGATTTAGGTCCCTCAATTCAGAATTAACGAGATTCTGGTAGAATCATAAAGCGAGTTGTTTCAACTTCGCCCCATCAAAAAGCCAATTACCCATGTAAAAAAAAAAGAAAAGAAATATAGCATACCAAGGGGTTGAAATATCCTTACATCCAAGGGGAGAGGTTTCTTCTTTTCTTTTTATGAACCAAGGGGAGGGGTGTTAGAAATGTTAAAATTAATTAAAGTCCATACAATGACCTTCCCAAATAAGCAAATCAATTTTGGTTAAAAATAACCATTCATTTGCGAATGATTAAATCTTCAATCTTTTTAATGGTATCAATTGAAAGATGATGACTGATAAAATTATGTTAAAATTCATGACTAATATTTTAAATTACTAAACTCTTTTAATCTTTATAAAGAATATAAATATTAAAAGTTTAAAATATTTTCAATCTTTATAATTTTATATTTTAAAATATAGGGCCCAATATTAAAATAATTAAAATTATAAGAATTGAGATGCAAGAGATAAAATTTAAGGATTGGATTACATCCAATTTAAAAATTTAAGTAATGAGTTGCAACAAGTTAAAATTTAAGAATTAAGTTATAATTAAATTAAAACTATAAAAATTAAATAATTAATGTTTCTTATAAATAATTAACAAGCGTTTAGTTCTCCCTTTCAACCATATTTCCTTTCATCTCAACAGGGCCATTTACATTTCCTTTAAATCTTATTTTCATTTGGATCCTTTAGACATGCACAAAGAATTCAAAATTTTATTATCCTTTTTTGCAAATAATAAACTTTAGGGATCTTTGAGTGAGATTTTTTCAAGACTTTTCTTTCTTCAAATACAAAAACCAATTTTAATCTTTATTTTTGGCCAACGTTTTTGCTCAATTGCCATTGTCGTGACAAAAAAATAGTCAAGCTTTTTCATAACTCAATTTTTTCGATATTGGCTACTGCCATCTCTTCTCAACTAGTTCTTCCAAATTTTTTCTTTGTTCAAATCGTAGAACCCATTTTAATCTTTACTTTTGACTTACATTTTTGTTTGATTGCCATCTTTGTGACGGAAAAAAGTCAATTTTTTTCAGAATTCAATTCTTTCCAATATTGGTAACTACATCTCCTCCCAACTAATTTAAATTTATGCACCTCAAGATATCAAGTACTTAGATATTCAATTTAAATTTATATTTCAAAAACCTACCAATTAAATAAATAGAGGGTAATGTACGTGACTCCCTGGTTAGAAGTCCGTGCATTGGGGGTGACGACAAATCCAGTGGCCGTTAGAATTCGAATTCAAACTCTACACTCGCGACTTAAAAATACAAAGACCCGCGGCTGTACATTCATTCACAGCTCTGTCAATTTCAGCTATGTCACAGGCCAATCAGATTCCAGAAAACAGTGGAAAAAACGGACCAATGAGAGTCATTTTTTGCTTTGCGGGGATTATTGCAAGGTGTTAGAACGTTGTCCGGACCCAGTTTGAATTTTGAAACCGAAGAAAGTGGGCCCCAGCTGAGATCCCCGCTCCTAACGATTACCGAGCCCATTCAACGGCCCAGATATCTTCCCATTTCAAACTAACTCCTCTTCCCCGCCTCAATATGTAATAAACATTTAATTAAATTATTTATTTATTACTTTATTAAATATTAATTCGCTCTCACACACTCAGGGAGGAAACGCCCCTCTCCCATCTTTATCCTTCTCTCTTTTTCTCTGCAAGAATTTCAAACAATATTTCAAAGCATAAAGACTCTTTCTTTATGGCTCTATCTATATCTCTCGCCTGAAACTCTCTGTAGTCTTCTCTCTTCTCTCTCATTCTCTCCCCATTTTCGCTGTTCTTGCTCTGGGAACGGTACCTAGAGCTGGGAAAGAAGTCTACAAGAAAGCATAGAGAAACGCAAAGAAAGCTTCATTTTCAATTTGCAATTAAAAACCGCTGCTAGGGTTTGATTTTAAAAGCAGGATGTCAAACCAGAATCGTCGTTCGTCGTTTTCTTCCTCCACGACATCGTCGTTGGCGAAGCGGCATGCGTCATCCTCGTCGTCGGAGAATGTGGGGAAGCCTACTTCCCTGCCTCCACATTTGGCCAAGAAGCGCGCGCCTCTCGCTAACTTGACCAATCTAAAGAATGTGCCTCACGCTGCTTCACGGAACTCTCTGCCATCATCAACTCTGGTATTGAGTTTATTCGGCGTTTCGTGGAACTTTATAAATTGCCTCAAAAGATTCGTGAGAAAGAAAATAGCAAAACATTTCTCTTTCCATGGCTCTTTCATCGTTTAGTTTTCAATATTATAATTCCCACTTCCCAGTCACTCCTTTTCAGTCCAGATTACCAGGCATTTGCATGAATTTCAAATCCCTAGTGGATTTCATTCACTTTGAAACTATATTGATATTGATTTGTTTTCTTCCGGTAATCGAAAAACACCGAGTTTAGCAATTTTCGGAGCCAAGAAATCCGGGTTGATTAGAAGAAAATCATTTTATCTCCGAGAACAATTCAAGATTAGTTAATAATGAAATTATACGTTTTATTGTACATTTTAGATTTATATGGTGTCTACAGTAACATAATAGTCTAATTAATTTAATTTGAATTTGAAATATATACTTTGAAATTATGATTATGATATTATGATAATAATTATATAAAAATTAATTAACAATTAATTTCCAATTACAACATTCTAGGTCAATACTCAATAGAGTATTTTAAGCATATATATTTTCCATTATATTTCAGCTCCTTCCCTCTGGCTTGAAATTTGAATTCAAAATAATACAGTCTCAATTAGTTCTTTGTTGCAAAGATTCCTTCTTTTTCATTAATTGCCATTAAAGCTGTCCGAACGTTAGAGTTGCTGCATTAGTATGTTCGTTGCTTTCTTGTGTTGTTTCTTGGTGGTAAAAACTGGGTTTTTGTCTTGCAAGGTACCTGGTGCAACTAAAATCGCTAAGACAAACAAGGAACCCACCTCATCGAACGTGAAATCAAGTGCAGTTGTGTTCCCTGAGGTCAGCTCATTTACACAAAAGGATGAAGCTGTTCCTACAGTTGCAGCTTTCACCGTTCCAGTTTCTACCAACTTCAATGCAAAATCAAGTGCCATTGATTTTCCCAAGTTTGCTCCTGTTCCACAGAAGTTCGAAGCTGCTCCTTCAGTTTCCAACTCCTCCGTCCCTCTTGCAAGCAGCATGGATGTTTCTCCTTGTAAATCAGATGGCATGTCTGTCTCTCTGGACGAGACCATGTCTACTTGCGACTCATTCAACAGTCCTGAAGTTGAATATATGGACAATAACGATGTTTCAGCTGTTGACTCTATTGGTAGAAAGACATTGGACATTCTAAACATCTCCGATAATACAGATAGAACAATAGGTTTCTTGTTGATTCAATTTTGCCTTTTCTTTTGTCATCAGTCTTGCAGGTTTTTCCTTTACACAATAAGTCATATTTTGGTGTCTTCTAATGTAGTGTTATTGTTTCATTCGCAGGCAACATTTGTAACAGAGACATTCTTGTTGAGCTGGAGAGAGAAGACAAAATTGTCAATATCGATAATAATTACGTGGATCCACAGCTCTGTGCGACCTTTGCTTGTGACATCTACAAGCATTTGCGCGTATCTGAGGTTAAATTTCTTTTTCCCTGCTTAGGCAATGGATTTTGTTCTGTTTTAACTTCACGTAGAATACAGTTACTCGGAGTAGTTGTCAGCTGTCCCTATCGGGAAGCAGCTAAATTCTACATTTCTATATTCTAGATTTGTCACCTGAATAGCAGTCATTTATTCCGTTCCTAGTATGCTGATCTTCGGTTTGTTTTTCTTCCCTCGATTTCTTCAATTAGGCAAAGAAAAGGCCGTCTACAGATTACATGGAGAGAGTTCAAAAGGACATAAATCCCAGCATGCGTGCTATATTGATTGACTGGCTTGTAGAGGTAATATTTGTTAACAATGACGTGCGTTCTGTGAGACATGTATGTAAAATTGTTGATTCAAATTACGGCGCACAATTCGCACTCGCTAGTAAATGCTAAACTAGTAGCTTGAACTGCAGGTGGCTGAAGAGTACCGGCTTGTGCCTGATACATTGTATTTGACAGTGAACTACATAGATCGGTATCTTTCAGGGAATGCCATGAACAGGCAAAAATTGCAATTACTTGGAGTTGCCTGCATGATGATTGCCTCGTAAGGAGTCTTCATATTACACCCCGTTTCCCTTTCTTATGAGTTATGTGTTTTATGGGCATAACACATGTAACAATATGTTTTATTTGTTTTTCACTTTTGACAGTAAATATGAGGAGATTTGCGCGCCTCAGGTGGAAGAATTCTGCTATATAACTGATAACACGTACTTCAAAGAGGAGGTTCGTGGTTCAATTCAATTCTTCGGCTTCGTTTTTGTTTGTTTTTGGGAGCATATTTTCAGTTACTTCGTCATGCCTTGAATCTGAAACAAATGGTTGAGACAGGTTTTGCAAATGGAATCAGCGGTGTTGAATTTTCTGAAATTCGAAATGACAGCCCCAACAACCAAATGTTTCTTGAGGTAAGAGCTAGCCAAATGGCCCCATACAGAGCTTTTGACTTTCTTTGACAGTGCAGCACTAATACCCTTTTGTTTGATGATATGCCTTCAGACGATTCGTTCGCGCAGCTCAAGGAGTGAATGAGGTACAGTACTGCATGTCTCTGAAAATATTTGCATTTCACTACTGATTTGCACAATCTTCTTCATCAATGTTAGTGTTATTAGCATTCTTATGATGGATTGATTGCCGATTTCTCAGGTCCCGTCATTGCAACTAGATTGCCTGGCCAACTACCTTGCCGAACTGTCTCTCTTGGAGTACAGCATGCTTTGTTATGCCCCATCACTTATAGCTGCTTCTGCAATTTTCCTCGCCAAATATCTACTCTTCCCTTCGACCAAACCCTGGGTATGTATGCCTTCCAGCAATCACTTACGTTGTCCTATCATAAGGCATTAACTTACTCTTTTGTGTTTGTAACAGAATTCCACATTGCAACATTATACACTTTACCAGCCTTCTGATCTGTGTGACTGCGTGAGGGATCTCCATCGTCTGTGTTGCAACACCCATACTTCTAATTTACCCGCAATCCGAGAGAAATACAGTCAGCACAAGGTGGAATTCTTGCTGGCATGTTTTTCAGTTCGTTTGTTTCATAGTAATAATCTGTTTGCTTCGATACCTTACTTGGATTTCATTCTTGTTTCAGTACAAATATGTGGCTAAGAAGTATATTCGTCCATCAATACCTCAAGAATTTTTTCAGAGTTGAGCACAGAGGAATCCACCTTAATTTCCAATTCACCGTTGGATAGGCTTAGTTAGTAGCTTGACATGACTAGACTAAGCGTAAGTGTAGGAATCTTCTTGCTTTCCTCCATCCAACTGTATAATGAAGTTTTTACCTTACCCCAATCTGATCTCAGTCTTTTTGTAGAAGAGCTAATATTAATGTGCATTGTACTGGGGATTCTGTTGATTCCCCATAATCTACCAAGCAAAATAAACACTTGTATTATTTATGAGCAGATGACGCCGTTCATCATTAAGTAACACCACCAACAAACAATACCCAACTACAGAAACTGTCCGATTTACTAGCGATACAACTATCCATATTCTAACATATGAGATAATACCCAACTTAGCAGTTCAAGATGGCAGGCTGGTTATATACATGAAAAAAAAAAGTTAAAAAAAAAAAACTTGTAAACTAAATAGTACCCACCTATTATTCAGGAGCTGGTAATTTACAAACCACACTGAGCTTTAGCAGCAGCAGCGTCACCCGCAATGCTTTTGTTAGGGAAATCGTTGAGCCAATGGCAATCTTCAAATGAGCAATAAGGTCCTCGCTTTGGCTCCTCCACATTGATCGGACGAATATACTTGGGGGACCAAGCAGGTGTACCATCCTCATATGAATTATGGGTCAGTCTCTTCATATCGGATCCGTTCAATTTAATTGTATGAATCTCACCGTATGGCTGGTAATGATGTGGATTTGAGATTGGCTCTGCTGATATACCCGAATAATCAGAGGTGAACACTATACTCTTCCCATCCGGGCTGAAATACGGGTGGTTTGTCCTCCCTCCTGTTCCGCTTTGAATCAGCTTTCTCAGTCCGGTTCCGTTCGGGTGGATCAGATACAGCTCGAAGCTCCCGCTTCCCGGGTTTTCTCGGTCCGACGCAAAAGCGATCCAATCACCATCCGGCGACCAACTGCACATCGTGTCCGTCCATGGACCTTCCGTTAGCCTCTGAAGCCCTCTCCTCTCTCCATCAACAGCGTCCATTATGTACAGATTCTTATGGCCCGATCGACCCGATCGGAACACGATCCATTGACCATCGGGTGACGGCGAGGGGAAAGCGTTGTTTTTCCCGTCGAGGGTCAATCTCTTTTGACTGTGCTGATTAAAATCATCAACGTTGATGGAGATGACGTCAACTTGCGAGCCCTCAGACGCAAATGTTGGTCCAGTGGCAGTGTAGATTATACCAGGACGAACCGGGTCCCACGAGGTCGAGAAGGCCATTGCATCGGAAACCTTACGCCTGTTCGAACCGTTCCGATTTACAACATAAACCCCAGGCATATCTACGTAAGCTATTCTATCACCCGACGGCGAGAAGACCGGAAATGAACCGGTGAACCGGAAAAGAGTGAGACCGGGTATCGGACTTCGGACATTCTCTAGCATGAACTGGGGACTATCCTTTCTGTTGGGTTCTCCTCTGCACTTATGGTATCCGACCCGCGAAGCATCGGGCGAAATAAACGGGTTAAGGTGGTGGGTTCTGGCGAGACGAAACGAGTCAGTTCCTTGAACTCGTTCTTAACCAGGTCAAACAATTCGATGTGCCGAAAGCTCGAACCTGGTCTTCTCGTTGCTACCGCTATGAAATTCTTATTGCCAGGTGAGGTAGCGGGGGTGAAGGTGTGGATACCTACCGGTGTGACCCGTTCGACTTTCACGGAATCGGTGGAAATCGGACCCTCAGATGGTAAGAGTGCTCGATACACGCTCCACCACTGATCATCGCCTCTCCGATGAAAATAAATAGTACGATCGTCCACCCAACTCGGCCAACCTCCGTGTTCAACAACCTTAACTCGTTGAGTTCCATCTCGAGTCAAGAAAACGTAGATATCCGTAGTGAGATCCTCCACCTCACCTGCCCAACCATTCTCACCGTAAGATGCTACTGCGGTGTAAATCCCAGACGTTGAAACTGCGGGACTGAAATCTGCAACCCCGTAAGGAGTGAGTCTCCGAGTCGAACCGGATTTCAAGTGGGTCGAATAAACAGCGGCCCAACTGGCCCGAGGCACGCCCGGATTCTCGTGGGTCGACACGTACACCAAATATTCTCCGGTCAAAGTGGGCTTATCTTTCATGGAAACTCGATTCTTGTTCAGGTCATTGGCCAACAGAGGGAGTTGAATTCTACCTGCGACGGATTCAAGGGCCGATCTTCTTCTAACATTTGCGGTATCCTCGCTATAAACGGCATCGTAGTATATGTTAGAGATGCCATCAACTCTTTCAGTAACGTAGATGAGTTGCACAAGAGGCGGTTCGGACCGGAGCCGGATGGAAGTGTGATTGGGCAAGAGGGAGGGGAGGACGGATGGAGAAGACGGAGAAGGGAATTGGCCGTTAAAATTGACGGAGCGACCGTCAGTAATTCGAATTTCGTGATTAGGTTTGGGTCGGCCAAGAATTGGGAGGGAGTAAATATCGAAGGCGTAGTAAGATCTGCCGAGTGTCGTGAAGATGATGCTAGTGCGACTGGAAGCGTCGTGGTCCGCTGTTGCAGTTGCAGAGGATGGTGATATCAGGAAAAGAAGTAAAAAGCAAAGAGAAGATAAGCTGGGAGCTTTCATGGCTATGTGATTCCCCAAACCTTTCCGGCGATTGTGGTTCAGTCTCTCGAAGTGGACTACGGGCGTTCGTGTGAACTGAAGAGGGATGACGGTACTGAAAGTCTGAAACTGTGGTGGTGAATTATTGAAGCAAGAAGTGATGAAGATGAAAATGGGTCCTACCCGTATTCGATATGCTACGTGTCATCCATGCGTGGGGGATGGGGTAGAGGATGAACTTGACTCGATTCTTGGAGTGATTTGGGTTGGATTTTCTTGGCCGATTTGGGGATGGTCATCTTTTTTTTTTTTTTTCTTTTTTTAACCATTGATTTGGGGATGGTCATCTAAATTTTTAATTCACCCAGTGATTCGAATATTAACCAAATCATATAAAAACTAAATCAACAAATACTGTATAATCATTTACTCTTAGTCTTCAATACTTTGACCCTCGTGTTGAAGCTGTACCTGTATGGTTATAAGATTCTGCTGCACTGATTTTCCCGCTTTAAGAATGATAATTTTTTGTGTGCTCTTAAACCTTATTTGGTATGATAAAAAAATTTTAAATAAATTTAAAATTAAAGTTTATAAAGTATGTTTTGATATGATAACTGAATCTTGATATAATTTTAATAAGTATTTATATTTAAAATAGAAAAATATTTAAGCATCATTTTTTTTATAAGTAAAAACCTCATTTGTCTTGTGCCTTCTTCCCTCTTCTTTCCACCAATAGCATGAGTCAATGATGAGGGTAACACAGACCTATTGGCATCATGCTGAAGCAACAATCAAGACCAGAAAATACAATAACAAAATGGTTCAAATGTATAGAGGAGCAACAACTAAAATCAAAACTTGCTTTCCAAATAGATTAAAAGAAATTTGTAAAGACAAGGGAGAAGCTCGATGGAGATATTGAAAAAGTTGTGCTAATGAGGGCAGAAAAGCTTGATGGAGGAGCTTCATCCTCTTAAACCTCAATTGAGAATTTTGTGAAATAAAAGGAGAAGGTGAAAGCCAATGGGGAAGGTGAAATTTGGGGAGGTGAGGGAACCACTTCAATATTGGCTCACTATGTTAGATCTCTCTTTGCCCTACCTAGTCGGCGCCATTCTTGTGTTCAACCAATGCTTGGTCTCAAGTCAACATTGCCAAAGAGTTTGTAGGAGTCTTAGGGCAAATCTTTTACCTCTTGGACTTGCAGGTAGGATTTTCTTTGTCAATCTCTAAGCTATAGATAAATTAAAGCTGGAGGGTTATTGTGGAGTAACGTGAAAGTTTGGTCCTGCTTGATGCTCGATAGTGTATGGGAGGAAATCGAAGAATCAAGTATTAATAAGGGTAGTAGTGAGAGACAAAATGAATTTTATGAAGAGTAACTCGATTCCATGTGAGCATGATAGAATTAGATTATGAGACTTTTTTTTGATAAAATAAAAATTTCAAAAAATAATGATTATTTCACATTAAATACACTTTCAAATGAATTCTTTGTTTGATTTCATTTCTAACCTTAGGATTCCTATATACTAAACATGGCCTTAATACTACCAATTTTTAAGATAAAAAAAAAGAGGAGAAAATGAAAATTTTAATCCCTCAAACTTGAATTAGTTATCAATTTGATTCTTCAACTATAATTTTATTGATTTAGTTTTTAATATGTTCTTAAATTATTATGTTAGTCTTTTAAGTTTTAAAATACAAATTAACTCTTAAAATAATCTAATATATATAATATATGGATGTCTTGGCTTCTACATATAGTTAAATGATAACAAATGAACCCTTAAATTAATTTAGTTTTATCAATATAATAATTCCTTACACTGTATTTTGTTCTTTTTATTTTTAATTTAAAAGTTTATTTTTCTACCTAAACAATTATAATTCTTAACTTTTTATTAATCTACATAGTTGCAATTAATATTCTGTTATTGATGTCAATAAAATTTAACATTGTAATCTTCTTTTTAAATAACAAGGATCAAATAAGTAATCAAAATAAATTTAAGAGACTAGATTGTAAAAATTAAACTTAAATTACTAAATCAATAACTTAAAACAACTTAAAAAATTAAAAGGTACAGTGTTACATTATCCTGAAAAAATACTACCAATTTTCTTAGGATGAGTTTGGGTTTACCGATAAATATCGCTAATCTTCATAGGGAAAAAAAAACGAATTCCACGTGAGGATGAGGTTGTCTTTTACCTTTTTAGTAATGAGGATGAGGTTGTCTCGAGTTCATGATCAATAAAAAAAAAAGGGCTACCTTATATAAAACTCGAATGATAAAAAAAAAACAAATCTGGGTTTGATGTGGTGGTCTTTCCAAGTGTCAACCACTACTGGGCCTTTTTCATTATATGGGCTTTCTTTTAATCCGGAAATCTGTCCGCTTACAAGACATTGACCGAAGAATCTATACCGTGGAAGTAGCTCTTGGAATCGCTTCCACATTTCAAGATGCTTGTAGTTTTGGCCCGTGTTGGAAAAACGCTGGGGAAATAAAATCATTTATCCCAATTAAACAAAAACAAACCATTTATACTATAACAAAACTAAATCCAATTTTAAGAAAAATTTAGAACAATAATTGAATTTGATGGAGACATTGATTCATAGTTCTTTTTTAAATTGACAATTTATTACAAAACCATTAGTCCATTGCAAAAAGAGGAGAAATTTATAAGTAAAATGAGTGCATCATGTCATTTGTGGTTTGTTCAATTAAAATACTCCAAGATAGCTAAATGAAAACTTACGTAATAATATTTTAATTAATTTTATTCCTATAGTATAATGTTATATTTAATTTATTTCTTTTCTCTC